GAGTAAATTTAACAATTATTCCACGAGGGCGCGTTGGATATGAGATGGTAGAGAGCCAACGAGGCGCGTAGTGCCGAGTTGACTATAATCATCTCATATGCAACAAGGGCGAGTGGAATAATTGTTTTATTAAAAACGCCCACAAAAACTCGTTGAATCTCCCCTACTAGAACAAACCGAAGAAGACAAGGGACTTCCGCTATTCACATGTCACACGTCTATCAAAACTGTCAACGCGCGAACGGACATGCCTGGACTGCATTAATGAAAAATCAAAACATTGCAGCAATGAACATTAATTTTTTAAAAACTCATGCGGATTCTAGGATTTTAAACAGCAGGACAGCTGAAAAAAACTTGGCAGATAGTGTGAAGGAAAATAATTTTTAAGTGACAGCCGTCGAAATTACTGTGAATTTGGATTTTCGGTGCAGTTACAAAAGTAAGAACAACGGAAAAAAACTATTACCTCGGTCGCTTGTTATGAAGTTGTTTGAAGCCACAAGCTGGTTTTGCTGAATGAGGAAAGAAGCTATACTGCCGCCTCGATTGCTCTAGTGAATGGCTGCATAGCCTGTATTTGTAGCTGGTTACTTGTGATTTATATTCTTGATGTCGGATAAACAAGCCGCAGTTATCTATCGGCGAGTGACTCGATCGGCGAATGACTTCGCGATCATGAAGAAACAACACTTGTCTTCTTTCGTAGCTGGTGATGATACTTTAGTTCCATGTATTTTCATGTGTTTTTCGACAAACTTTCAAACAAGCTCTTGTGGCTTTTTTGTTTGTTTTTGTCTTTTTTCTTTCGATGAAATTGCATCTCTAGTAGTCTAAGAAATGAATTAAAATGATTTGCTTCGGGCGCCGTTCTATCCTTCGCGAAAAAAAATCTCAGCTAGCTTCCAATTTTAAACTGACGCGTACATCGACCATATATGGAGAGCATGGTATAATAGCTCATATACCATAACGGCTAAGCCAATAAAAATGCTAGAATTGCATTATCCAATGATCCAGTTTTTAATAATTATAAGTAGACCGGCTAGTTTCCCGCGAAAAGTGTCATATTTTCGTGAGTCTCGTGTGTCACTATGAAAACATAAAACTGGATGAAGTCGAACTCAGAAGCCCGTCCTTCGACCGTTTTCCTTTTTTCCTTTGCGTCCATTTTTACAATTTTACAGCCGCTGGGATCTGGGTATCATGAAATAAAAGTTAATGCATGACCCGACTGAGACTGAGTATGAAGCGATGGGACAAAGGCAGCGAACTGAGGATCACGGAAAGGTTATCTTTGCGAGTGTTTCTTTTCTTTTTTTTTGCCGTCATACAACCCACATTTAAGCATGCACCTTGAAAAGAGTCGACGATTAAAAGTTCTGTGGACGATTTGGAACTTTTCGATGACCAGCGACGAAAAAGTGCCAGGATCATATGATTTTTGTCATCACCGTGGAGTGGATTTCGCCAGTTAAGCACCGTGTGGAAAAGCGATGACCTAAGTAGCAACTAACGAGGAATGCTTCAGTTCCGAAATTTGAGAAATTACAGTCTTCCTTTACAACTGACTTGTATCACCATGAGAGTTGCCTGATAAAACTGGCACTTGAAAATTTGAACAGAAGACAACAGTTTCTGGACTGTGAAGCTAATTCAAAAGTAATTTGCTAACGGAGGAATTTGTGACATCGCGCTCCAGTCCAAAGACCCACTTATCTCAAGAAAAACAAAATGGATTGTATCTGCGCCAAAAGAATTATTATGACTGACTAACAGGACAATTCTCAGCAGTTAATCTAGAAGTTTAGGCTCAATTCCTTCCTTCGAATTCGCATCTGTAGATCACTTTTTTGCGAGGAAACAATGGCTGGGCCCGGCGTTACAAAACATAGCAGGGAATCATCACACTAGCTGACGGACAAAACAACCAAAAGGACTACAAGTATTTATTCAGATAAACGCATTTCGGAAAAAAAAACTTGAAAAACTAGAAATTTGATTAATATTGAGTCATTTAGTCGAAATAAGAATCTTGACGCTCCAAAAAATTGGCTAAAGAAAACGAATCCTGTCAGAACTACAGAATGCAGGTAGTAGTTAATCATTATGCATGTAACAGACCACCTTCATGGCCTCTTAATGTGAGACAAGCAACCAAAATTAAGATTA